AATAATATATTTAAAGATTATCATTTGTTTATTTTTAAGGTTATGTAGCCATTCATTAATTAAGGATACTCCTCTACTATTTGTTTGTGAATTAATAATTCCTCATAGTTTAAATAGGTACTCAATTTCTATTATTAGGATAAATGTTAATATTTTTCTTTATTTTTGTGTTTAACAATAGATAATAGATTTTTCGTTGTAATGGTGGGGCTTCTCTATCTCTCCTACATAAGTTTGAAATTTTCTTTTCTAAAATTGGAATGCTTTAGCCAACCTACACAAGTCTTGGCTGCTGGTCACTTATTTATCATGAATTTTGCGTATTTATGACCAATCTAAAGTCCTTTCAGGTCTAAGTGTGAAAGAAGTAAAAAGATAAAATTCTTGTAGGGAGATTCAAGGGACGAAGAGGATTAACTAAGCTTTAGATTGATGGCCAAATTCAAGGGATGAAGAGGATTAAGCAAGCCTTAGAATTTTTTTTTTTCTCCTCCTTAGATTTGGCTTTCAAAGCACCAAGAGCAAGGGAATTAGATGGTGGCTGGAGATGACAATAGCTAAAAGGAAGAAGGTGATGTTTATTAATGTATTTTGTATTTTTTTTTCATTTGTTTGTTATTTTTATGTCTATTTTGTTCTACATATTGATATAATAATATATTTAAAGATTATCATTTGTTTATTTTAATTTAGTAATATTTTTATATCATTAAGAATTTATCAAAATTTTTATTAATAAAATTCTTTTTTTTTATAGATTTTAGATTTTAAATCATACAACTTTTGTGAAATTATAAATATTGTGACTAAATAATTCTATTTTGACAAGATTTTTTGTCATAAATTTGTGTTGTAATTATAAAAATATCCTTTTTACTTTAATATCAATTTAAATTATTAATGACTAAATATTTCATAACAAATACTAATGAATATTTGTGACGTTTATTTTGTTCACTCATTTGTAATTTTTGTGATGAAAATTGTTGTGACAAAAAGTATTTTTTTGTGACAAATAAAATTATTACAAATAATTTGTTAATAATATTAATTTTTTTATTAAAATAAATTTTTTTTCTATAATATATGTCAGATTCGTCACAAAAAATATTAATGATAAAATCAATAAGTTAATAACTTATTGATTCAAGTAAAAAAAATTCAATTTCTCTTAAATAAGCTCAAGAATAATACCAAATTTTATTTGAGGAATACCAAACCCAAGCCTAATCCGAATACCATTAGTACCAACCTGCGTATATTCTTTCGGAAGGTTCCGATTAACCCTTCGATTAACGACCTGGATGCCCACCCTTAACTTTTTTTTCAACCATCATTAAATCATTATAATGGTGCGCCGCAATTCATAAATAGCATAGACCTGAAATCAGAGAAACCACCTCAAAATATGATAAAAAAAAGAGTCCTGGTTTGTGACTTAATTGTGAAGCCCAAATAGTTGAATAAAAATTGTCAAATGAAAATAATTAAATGAGAGAAAGCGTTTAATTTTATAAGAATATTCTCATTCAGTAATTAATCTTATATAATCTAATGCAGTTTAGTCTAAAACCCTTTTTCCTGAAAACAAAAGCCCTCTGCCCTCTGCTAATGGCAAATCCTGTTTTGTATTCTTTAAGCAATTAAAATTATCCCAAGAAGATACACCAGGAAGGCATTGGTTTCATATACATTTAAGAAAAAAAGGGGACCTCCATTTCTTCTTTCTCTGTCCCGCATTAAACAGTATCCGGCAATGTGAACACCACCAGCTTAGTTAAAATACCATTTTCTGTCCCCAACTCAGCTCTCATTATTTGTCTCTAACCAAAGAAACTTCACCCAAAGGCACCGCCTTTCCATCAACCCAGTTCCACCATTCACCCTCCGGTATGTCAGCTTCCAATTCATCCAAACAGCTCTTCTCCTTCTATGCCCTGTTTTTCTTCTCCTTGATTTGTTCTATCAAATCCGACGAGCTTCAAGTACTTCTCAAGCTGAAATCCGCCCTCCAAAGTTCAAACCCCGATGCTTTCTCTTCATGGGATTCCGGCCACTCTCCTTGCCGCTTCAGTGGAATCACTTGCGACGCAAATGAGACTGTTACACAAATTGAGCTCTCCAACCGAATGCTGGCAGGTGTTCTCCCGTTCGACTCAATTTGCCAGCTTCAATCCTTGGAGAAGCTCTCGATGGGATTCAATTCCTTGTATGGAGCAGTGACAGAGGATTTGAATAATTGTGTAAAGCTGCAGTATTTGGACCTCGGCAACAACGCTTTCACCGGAGCATTTCCGAAGATATCCTCTCTCAACAAATTGCAGTACTTATATTTGAACAAGAGTGGATTTTCAGGGACATTTCCATGGAAATCTCTGAAAAATATGAGCAATCTTGTTCAATTGAGTATCGGGGACAATCCATTTGATCCGATTCCATTCCCAGAAGAGGTTCTCAAGCTAAAGAAGCTGAATTGGTTATATATGGCGAATTGCAGTCTCCAAGGGCAAATTCCGGTAGGAATTGGCTGTCTTACAGAGCTCATAGACTTAGAGCTCTCTGATAATAACTTATCCGGTGGGATTCCAGCGGAGATTGGAAAGCTTCAGAAGCTATGGATGCTTGAGCTCTACAACAACGAAATAAGAGGAAAACTTCCCAGCGGATTGGGGAACCTCTCAAATCTGGAATTTTTCGATGCCTCAATGAACTATCTCGAGGGTAATTTATCAGAATTGAGAACCTTGACCAATCTAGTTTCCTTGCAACTCTTCGCGAATCAATTTTCCGGTCAAGTTCCAGCCGAGTTCGGTGAATTCAAGAAACTGGTTAATCTTTCTCTGTACAAAAACCAGTTAACGGGTCCTCTGCCTCAGAAGTTGGGTTCTTGGGCTAAATTTGATTTCATTGATGTGTCTGAGAATTTTTTGTCCGGTCCAATTCCGCCGGAGATGTGCAAACAGGGGACGATGAAGGCGCTGCTCATGCTTCAGAACAGGTTCACTGGAGAAATCCCGGCATCATACGCGAATTGTTCTGGTTTGCAGAGATTCAGGGTCAGCAACAACTCCCTTTCTGGCACATTTCCGAGTGGGATTTGGGGATTGCCAGTTGTTAAATTGATTGACATTGAGTTTAATCAAATTGAAGGAGAAATTACATCCGATATCAAGAACGCGAAAACTCTGGAAACAATAACTGCCGGACACAACAAATTAACCGGCGAGTTACCGGAGGAGATTTCTCAAGCGGCAGCATTGGTTAAAGTTGAGTTGAACAACAATCGACTCTCCGGGCAAATTCCAGATGCTATTGGTGAATTGAAGCACTTGAGCAGCCTCAAGTTACAAAGCAATAGCCTCTCCGGTTCCATTCCGGCATCGTTGGGCTCCTGTGTTTCTCTCAGCGACGTAAACGTGGCTGACAATTCACTTTCCGGTAAAATCCCATCATCTTTAGGGTCTTTACTGACGTTGAGTTCTTTGAATTTGTCCAACAATAAACTTTCCGGTCAAATCCCGGAGAGCTTGTCGTCTCTCAGGCTAAGCCTTCTTGATCTTTCCAACAACGAGTTAACCGGTCCCATACCACAGTCTCTGTCAATTGAAGCATACAATGGTAGCTTCTCCAACAACCCCGGTCTCTGCAGTGAAAGCGTCAGGTTGTTCCCGCGGTGCCCAACAGAAACCGATATGTCTAAAGATGTCCGTAACAAGACAAGATGAACGGCAGAATTGAATGGCATTATTAGTTTTGGAGAGCGTGGTTTTGGTTAAAATTTTAATATTTTTTAAATCAATCTAATTTAATCGAATTAATAAATTTTTAAAATTAATTTAATTTATTATTATATGATAATCAAACAAATCCAACTTAAATCAGATCTTTGTGGTTCGATCGAATTGATCAATTTTTAATATTATTAAATATATAAGATAATATAAAAATA